CCACTTTTCTGTTTGTTTTTTGAGATAGGGTCTTGTTATGTAGTTTGAGCTAGCCTTGAACTCATGGTGATCCTCCTGCCTCAGCTTCCCAAGCGATGGGACTACAGGCGTGCGCCACCACAACCAGATCCTTTTTCTATAATATTCAGCTCTTCAACTAGATGCTTCTCACTGATACATGTTACCTCCCTTGAATTGCACATTCTTTATCTATCCAGCCACGCTCTGCCTGCTTTCTCTCCACCTCCCCTACCTCTAGCAAAAACCAATGTGTTTGTACAGAGACTGATTTCTAGCTCTGTAGCCTGTAGACTCTGTAACATGGGAGTAATCACACCAATAACCCTACCTGGTGGGACTGCTGGGAAGGAAATGAATCGGTGTAGACTCAGGACAGACCCAGGCCACAGTCACTGACCGACAAGGGGGGCAAAGAGCATTCCTCCTGGTTACTGCCATCCCCACCAGCCGTCCAGGCAGCCACAGCCGCAGACTGACACCACGGGTCATCCTGAACACCTCCACCACGCTACTCCACTCCCACGGTCTGCCGATTTCCACCTCAAGTCCCCTTTCTTAGGGTTACTATGTTTTCAGTGCAGCCTGCAGTACATAATGTTTACACCCCTTGTGAGAACTGGTTCGCACTTACAACTCTTAACTCTTGTTTTGGAGACAGGGTCTCAACGCTGGCCTTCAACTCCTGGCGATCCTTCCGTTCTGCCTCAGCCTCCCAAGTGCTGGGATCACAGGCATGCACCACACCTGGTTTATTCTGATTCTCTTTCATGCTATTTCATTCCTTCCTCTCACCTCTATCTCTTGACCCCCTTCCCATCGGAGAAAGATCTACGTCTCTATTTCCTATCTTCTATTTTGCTCTTTATTTATCCTGGTTTCTGACTACCTTCCTGTCTCCATTATCAACACTATTGTCATCCTCTCCCACTGATAATAAAACCCAGATGATTCCCCGCACTCCCTCGTTCCTTCTTCCCAACTTCCTCCACCCCACAGCCCACAGCCGGAGTCACCTGTTCTAAGCCCACACCTGAGGTTACCATGGGGATGAAAACACTTCCCACTGTTATGGTACAGCCCCAAGGACCCACAGCCTATGAACCAGACGTCCAGGCCCTCCTGCCTATGCACGCTTCCCTTATGTCCTGTCTTCTCAGAACACAGTAAGGACTTCTTTCCGCTCCTCTGAGGCACCATGCTCAGGACCATTTCCACTTGCTGGTCGGTTTACTGCAGTGTGGGCGACACTCCTAGTTCTCTCAGCCTTGCTAACCTGCACTCGTCCCTTCTGTCTTTGCCAGCCCGAATGTCCTCAGGGAGCCTCTGCTGACCCTCCGAACAGGCTCTCATCAATCTGTGTCCCCTTCACAGCACTCATCCAAGCTGCCATTTCTCATTTACGCCATCACTCCCCGAATTCCCCCAATGGGATCCAAGCTTCATAATAGCAATGACCATGTCCTTTTTTTCTATTTTAATTGCCCAATACAACATCTGGCACATTATTAGGCACATTATTAGTGCTCAATTAATATATAGTGCATCAATATTCAACTTCAAGGTTGCACAATAGCCTAATTAAAAACAGGGTAAGAAAGCCGGGCGTGGTGACACACGCCTGTAATCCCAGCACTCGGGAGGCTGAGGCAGGGAGGCTGAGAGGCAGGAGGATCGTTGTGAGTTTGAGACCAGCCTGGGCTACAAAGTGAGCTCAAGGCCAGCCAGCCTGAACTGCATAGGGAGACCCCGTCTCAAAAAAGACAAAACAAACAAACAAACAAAAAAACAGGATAAGCCAGGGATGGTGGCACACACCTGTAATCCCAGCACTCGGAAGGCTGAGGCAGGAGGACCACTGTGAGTTTGAGGCCAGCCTGGGCTACAAACTGAGCTCAAGGCCAGCCTAAACTGCACAGCAAGATCCTGTCTCAAATAAGGCAAAAAACAAAAAAGACAACATAGATTTCACACAGTACGGGACAAGTGTATCATCAGGTCGTTATCAGTGTTTCCCTACAGATGATGTCGGGCAGGAAATCACTTTACATACTAATTCAGTATTGCAGCAAAAAAGGCGGATGTGATAGAAGCAAACTCGCTATTATTTTAAAGGTTTAAACAAGCAGGACACTGTTTCATGACAGAGCTGTGTTTTTCTAAAGTACTGGTTCATGACCTTTGTTCTATCCCAGCACGCCTTCTGTCAGCTACTACTACTATCACTACTAGTATTTACTACTACTAGTAGTAATACTCATAGTAATAATACTACTATTTTCCCAATCAGTGCTCAGAAAGTGGCTCACCGCAGCAAAAATTCTTAAGCAAAAGAAAAGTTTAAGAAAGAAAGGTGCCGGGCATGCCTGTAATCCCAGCACTTTAGAAGCTGAGGCAGGCGGATTACTACAAGTTTGAGGCCAGCATGGGCTACATAATGAGTTCAAGGCCAGCCTGAACTATAAGGTGAGACTCTAGACTGCCTCAAACAAAAAAAGGAAAGAATCTGAAAGAGTACTCTCTCAAAATGTCGTGATATTCTCTGCCATCCTCTACCTCCACAGACATGTTTCTTCTATTCAACTTCTGGCACGAAGCAGTCACATCGGTGTCATTTGTATTTAATTTTAAAATGTAGTGTAAGGTTTTTTCCTCAAAAATGTTTTCCTAACCAATAGATTTAATATGAACTGCAGTGTTACCTAAAACTGTAAGGACTGAGCAGATACTCAAACAATTTAAATATATTATAAATCACCTACATGTATAAATTACCTGGAGATATCTGTGTATAAAAATACTTTGTCATGATAATATGCTTTTAAAGTACTAATCTCTAAAATCACTCAACTTTGGCATTTATTTGCTACAGAAACCATGAGCAGCCTTAAGTGTGATGTGTCTTAGGGTCCACACAATTATAACCGCGGAACTAACTTACTGGCTTACTAAGGAATAAAATAGAGTAAGAAAGTACAGAAATCAGTTACTTTTACAAAATCGCAAAAGAGGAACTGAAACTGTGTAGCTCGTGCCTCAGCAGGCCTACTGTCAAAGGCCCTGCTGACGAGCCTTTCCACAGCAGTGCACAGCGGATCCTGTGACAACTACGAGGCTACAGGTGTAAAGGTTACACCAAAGACAGAGTCAACTGCAACTGGAAATACACATAAATAAAGAACATCAAATCAAGTCTCGACCTTTTCTTTTTTTTTTGGTTTTTCTCCGGTACCGGGAACCGAACTCGCGACCTTGCGCTTGCCAGGCAAGTGCTTTTTGCCGCTGAGCTAAATCCCCAGCCCCTCTTGACCTTTTCTAAGTTTCTGAATTAAGGGTTTCACATGTGTCGAAAAAACAAGCTTACACTGTCACATGCTAGCACTTCTTACTTTCAGAAAAAACGCTACCTCCTAAGCCAGGACATGGAATCAGAATATGTAATTATAATTCCTGAAAAACAGAACATGCATAGTTTTATTACAAGTCAATACTTATTCAAAATATTTAGATAAAAATTTAACACCACCTCCTACTCACACAATCAAATTTCTTCAAAATTAGACTTTATATTTCATACCAAAAACATCACTGTTTCATTTCTGTAGGTCATTTTTAAAAAGAGAGTTTCATTTTTAAAAAGCTATTTATCCCCAGCAGAGACTTAGTTGTAAATGATATGAAAGTTCCCATGTGATCAAGAAGTGATCTTGAGAGCTGGGGATATAGCTCAGAGGCATAAGTGGCAAGCGCAAGGTCCTGAGTTTGATCCCCAGTACCGCCAAAAAAAAAAAAGTAATCTTGATACTTGCCTTTTAAAGATAAAGTACTATTTTTTAAAAGCCTCAAATGCAATTTCACTACCAGCTAGAGATACCAGCTACCTTCTAGAAGTGTCACTAATCAAGAGAGATTTTCATTTATCTACAGTAAGTGCTCGCCTTAACATCAGCACATGCCTGCCAACATTTTCAGAAAGAAGAGGTTAATAGTCTTCTCCAGTGGGGCAGTCACAAAACTGGGTATGCGTTAATCACAGGTTAGTTACACCACGTTTTCCACTGTTAACTAACAGGAAAGAGCAAATGCTGACCGCTACGTAAGGAGAGGAAGCAAGGCTTATCTGGCAGACATTAATTTGGATACGATGGTCAGTCTCGACTCCTACAACTACTAGCAAAGATTTCTTAGGAAAGCTAACACTCAGAGCTCTGCACATCACTGATTATCCCATTTTTATCTAAATGCAAGACCCATTCTCTAACTGCCCAGTTACAAAGTGTGGTATATGCAATAATGTTCATCTTTCATGATTTCTAATTTTCTGCACAATGTGATTAAGTTTTCTTATTTTGTTCGGTTTGGAATTGCCAGCACTCCTCGCGCCCACACCCAGGATCACAGACTAAAACAAACATCATTTTTACCTACTCTCAAAAGCAAATCCAGACTCTGGGAAACAGAGCGAAGTCCAAACACATAAACCTTAACGTTAGAAGTTACTCCAGTAACTGCGGGGAGCTCTGGAGACATCTGCCTGCAATTTAAATGTAAACCAAGCAAGACAACGACACCACCGTATATAGGAGCTTCGATCAGACTTCCCTGAACAGCTCGTGCATGTCTCTTTTTGCAACCAGACGGTGATCCGCAATTTTTAAAGGAATCCCGGCCGTGACCACCTGAAAACCCGCCCGGCTGGCTTGTCAACGAGAAAGCAGATCTGCACAACTCCGACGCCGACGGGCGGGCTAAGGGTTCCCCTGACAGCGCCCCTTCCTGGAGTCCGCAAGTCCGGCCGGGAGGCTGCGGGAACTGCTCGCGGCCCTCCCGCCTCGCTGGCGGACTAGGCGGGCGGCTCCGCGCCCCCACGCTAACGCTCGCAGCACCTCGAAGCGCGGGCGCCGCAGCAGCTCCCGGGCCGCCTCGCCGGGCGTTACGGGGCTCTAACGCCCGAGGCCGCCCCGGCGCCGCCCCCGGCCCACCTCCAGCTTGTGGTTGATCTGCGACACGGTCTGCGCTTTGTGGCACAGCTGCGCGAAGCAGGAGCTCAGGCTCGTCATCTTCTGCCGCCCCTCGTACGTGATGTCCGCCTGGTCCGGGTCGATCTCGCCCAGCAGCAGGTCCACGTCCACGAAGGCCTTGTCGAACTCCTTCTCCAGCACCTCCAGCCAGCGGAACATGGAGACCCCGCCCGGG